GGGGGGGGGGGAGAGAGAAATAAATATCGATTGGTTGCCTCTTGCACGAGGCCCTCGAAATCAAACCTGCAACTCAGGTATGTGCCCTTAACCAGAATCGAACCCATGACCCTCTGGTGCACAGGCCGGTGCTCTAACCACTGAGTCACGCCAGCCAGGGCCAGGTCTCTCTTTTAAAGTTACCCAGGTGATGCTGATGCGTGGTCAGGCTGGAGACACTGTTTTGTAAGTGGCTTTCTTACTGTCATTTGATATTTTTCCCTCATTTTTGGGGCTACAAGCTAGTCCAACTATGGAAGACTTTTGCTAAATGGTCATTTCCTTTTTTTTTTTTCTTTTTTATTGAATTTATTGGGGTGACATTGGTTGATAGTTACATAGGTCTCAGGTGTAGAGTTCTGTGATACATCATCTGCACACTGTATTGTGTGTTCACCACCCCAAGTCAAGTCTCCTCCCATCACCGTATATCCCCCCTTCTCCCTCTACCCCCTGTCCCTTTGGTCATCACCAAATGGTCATTTCTTGTCTCCAGGAAAAGAGGGGGAACAAAGCGTCTGATAAAGCTGCTGTCTTGGCCTTTGATGCTTTGGTGTCCTTCTGTGAAGAACTGGGGTGAGTGACTTGCTCGCGCGTTTCTAGAACAAAGTGTTAGCTCTTGTTCTCCAGGTCCTACTCCTTAACCAGCTAATGTGGGGCCACTCTCAGGCCACGAGGGGACCATGCCTGCTGAAGGCTACTGCATGGGGCAGCTCCTGTCGGGCAGCCTGGAAGTTGGTACCTTTCACTCTCTCATGGAAGGCCCAGAAACTCTGGCAACATGAAGATTCATTGAATGTTTTGGGTGGCCATCCGTCCACCCTACTTTACTCCCTTCTGGAGTGGTGGATGGCCCCATGAGTGACTTGGTCCTGAGTAATGCAACCAGTCCTGAGCCATTGGGGTTGTGGTTGTCACATGCCACTGAGCTGGACCCCTGGCTTCACTGGAACAGTGGTCACTCTCAACCTGGACCCACACACAGAGGCACGTGACCCACTTATCTCTGGGGTGTGTNGAACAGTGGTCACTCTCAACCTGGACCCACACACAGAGGCACGTGACCCACTTATCTCTGGGGGGGGTGTGTGTGTGTGTGTGTGTGTGTGTGTAACGTGTTTGGAGAGAAATCAGCTTCTCTCACGTAGTGCCAGCCTGCCTGCGTGGAACTCACCTGTTTTATCTGCGTCTCCTGCTGGTAGGGTCATGAGCCTGGTAGCTGCAGTTACAAGGCAGGTTCTGGGCACAGCAGCTGTGAGTGCCCCACGGGAGGGACATCCCGGAGGATCCTGGACAAGCTGGGAACACTTTGCACTTGTGCAGCCCTTCAGCCTAAAAAGCTCTTTGATTCCTTGCTCTCATTGGTCAGATCTTGCTGGACAACCCCGAGAGGTAACTAAGGCGGAGTGATTGCTTCAGACTTCGAGATGAGTAGACCAAGGTCCAGGAAGTTGCAATCAGAGCTCATGGGAGACAGATCGCTACCCCGGGTCTGCGGTTTCCAGTGCACATTTCACACACGTGCCGTCTTGGGTTTTGCACGACTAGACTCTGAAGCACGAAGCCGATTACCAGGGTCTGGCAGATGTGTGGGGCTCTCCCCTGGGAACCAGAGAGGCTCTTAGTTGGGCCCTGTGTTTTGATCCCCACCTCCTCCTATTCACTGATGAGCAGGTGGCTCCCGGACTGGAGTTCTTTCCTGCTCTAGGCACTCCTCTCTCCTTTGGCCTCTGTGGTAGGACCAGGTTTGCGGCACACACTTCTGTGCCGAGCAGAGGTGGTTGGCAGCAGTGCCTGGACCACCCTTGCTTGCAGCTATTGTGACCAGAGCCCTTTCTAGGCACCAGTACAGGGAGGTGCTCAGGCCGCCTTAGACTGGTGTAAATTGCTCATAATGAAAGGGCCGCGTGTCCTTGCTAATTGTCAGTGTCCCCGCTGCTGGGAGTAACCCGACTGGGTTCTTGTCTGGGATGAGTCTGGGGGCTCTGTGGGGCTGTCTGGAGGGTTAGCTCTGCCGTGTCCCAAGAGGCTAGGTCTTCCTAGGAGCCGCTACCCTTATTCTCCCATCTCATACCAGGGACTGGAGCCTCTTAGTGTTGGGCTGTCTGGGCATCAGTGGGGCTCCTCTGCCCGTGTCAGCCTCATCTCTCATATGTTACATGTGAGGGTCTCAGACTCCAGGACTTCCAGGCCCTGGGATGGAAGAAACATGGCTGGTGTGGCTGGATTGGAAACTGCTCTTTGAGTAGAGGGGAAGTTTCTTTAATGCGTCAGTGGTGTACAGCATAAAGAAAGAGCCCCTTCCCTCCAGATATTTGCCCCTTTTCTGGGAATAGTCCAGGTTTGAGGTTGAAGTTGAAGCAGCTTTTCTAAGGAAGGGCACCTGGCAGTAAGGGACAGGCCAGTGTGGTGGCTTTGGCAGAGACAGGTACCTTTCTACAGAGAACGTTGTAGGGTCTGGGGAGCACAGGATAGCGGACTCCTGTGGGGCTACCTGGGCATCTCTTGGACCAGCAGAAAGATCCTTGGCACAGCAGAGGGAGGCTGGGGCAGGCGCCAGCGCCTTTCCTCTCTTCCTTTGGGCCATGGCGCCCGAGGAGAATCTGCTTATTCCTGACACGCTCTCACCTGCTAGTGTCACAAGGACACTTGTCTGAGATGGAAGCAGCTCTTTGTTTAGGCCTAGATTGAACTGAGCTCTCATCTCCGTGGGAGCCGGCAGCCCAGAGCCTTCTGTCTGCCCGTTTGTCTGCTCATTGCCCATTCACTCATTTCCAACTGGCAAGTACTGGCTGACGCTGCCGCTGCCGGCCGGGCCACTGGCCCAGGGCACGCAGCGGTGGGCACAGAGACACAAATCCCCGCTTTGACGGGACTCGGCCCAGCGAGGAAGACAGGCACTCCTCCGAGAGTCATATACAAATGTGTAATTCCAGACTGTTGAAAGAGCTTTGAGGAAAAGGTCCGTGGTGTTCGGAAAGTGTGACCAGAAAGGCGGGTCAGGACTCTTGAGACTGGTCAACTTTCTCAAGGGTCGGGAGTGCGCCAAATACAATAGCGAACAGCATGAGCAGCAGGACCGTGACAATGAATATGCCGATCACTGCCAGGCCGCCCTGGTCCCAGGGGTTCTGCCAGAACTCCTCCTTCCAGCCGCGCCTCTGCTTTGTCAGCATGTCCATGTGAACCTGCGAAGGGACAGTGGTGCTGAGTGCAGGCGCCTCTTACACCCAACACCCCCCACTTCACCCTCTGGGCAGTCAGAGAGCTGCTGGCCCACCTCTGCAGCTAGGAGGCTCCATGCCTCCTGCAGAAACAGGAGCAAGGACTGGCACCAACCCAGGGGCCTTTGGTCCTTCCTGGAGGCCACCTCTGGCGTCTAGTTCTGCAACAGCCCTGGTGTGAGCAGGGACTTCCTCTCCTGTCCCTGAGACCTACTCGGCTAAAGCTTCCCTCTAGATCCTGTTTTTCCTGCCTCAGTTGCCAAGCAGTGGGAAGCATTTTGAGAGGTCAGCATAGTTGCAGAGGAGTGGCCTGCCTTGAGCTGAGACCTCTGTAAGCTTCCTTGGAGGCGGCTGAAAACTGAACTAGCTGATCTTCTAGAAGTATGGCTGATATCGACAGGCTGCAAGCCTGTAGCCAGTTGCAGGGAGTCCAGGCAGAGAGGGAAGGAGACATTACCTGATTCTGCTGTTAACACTCCTCTGTGCTAAGAAAGGGCAGATCAGGGGAGTCCTTCAGGACCGGGGCCCAAGCTGAAGGGTGACTAGAGCTGCACTCTGACTCAGACAAGCAGCTTTTGGGAGGAAAAGGTGTCCTCAGTGCCAAGTGGCCCTGACCAGACCTCATTGCTGTCACCAGAGCAAACAAAGGTGGGCTGGGGCCCATTGCCTGGCAACCCCTGGTCCCTTTTCTGCCTTTCTCCCTTACCCCTCAGCTGCATTCTGTCCTTCTATGATGTCATTGGCGTTGGGGTGCTCAGGGCACTCCCATAGAGGTGTCCTCACTAAGAGAAGTCAGACTTGGGGTGGGTGGGGAAGAGACAAACCAGAGCCTTTCCCCAGGCCCTCCATCGACCTCATCTGAGGCAGGTCCTCCCTCTGTCTGATGACCTGTTACCTGAAAGGACCTGCCCAGAGCCCAGAAGCCCTAGGGCTGGAACTGCCACTCTGGCTGTTCCCCCGTGTGGTGCGGGGTGAATAATTAACTGCACCTCCTGCTGACACCTCCTGGAACTCATTTCTGGGTGGAAGTGTGTATCGCCAGTGAGGCTCTGGGTGCTGTGGGCCTGACTTTCCCTGGGACCTCTGTCTGCCTCTCTGGCACGGCCTCAGCTGCTTGTGCCTCAGTTGTTTCGTGTGGTTGGCTCCTAGACACTGGTGTGCCAGGGCAGCTAGGAAGTGGGGATGGAACCAGTGCCCTGCCACGGGAAACCTGCTGGCCACCACTCCTTCACGAGACAGGATTCAAGCCCCTGCTGTGGCCAGGAGCTGCGCTGGGCACTGCTGTCCACTGTGAGCTGCGAGAGGCAGGCCCTGCCCTCCAGAGCTTACCTTCTAGCGCACTGGTCCTGAGCCCTGCTCATAGAATCATCTGGGAGCTTTTCTAAATGCCGGTGCCCAGGCCCCACCTCGTACCACTCTCTGGGCGTGTCAGAGCCCCGTGCTTTGTAACACTTGCCAGGTGATGCTGATGTGCAGCCAAGTGGGAGGAGACGGGTGCCGAGCAAGTCCTCCGCAGCAATCACGGGCTTAATTGACCCTGGCCGACTAAGCACTCGAAGCCAGTGGGCTGGTCCCTTCTGCACTTCACTCCATCAGCTGAGTCGGATGCTTATCAAGAGTCAGCTGTTTCTTCCCAAACCTGTTTGGGGCAGTTGTCATTGTAATAACATAACTGCACTTAACACTACATAAAAACATGAAACATTAAGAATAGCCAAAACCCCAATTTTACAGCTGGGGAGCAGGCACAGCCCTATAGCCAAGAAGTCACTGCGCCGGGGTTTGAACCCAGCTGTTGAACTCAGCTCCACAGTCAGCTCTGAAGCCATGCTGGGCCTCAGAGAGGTGGGGCGCTGTTGTCATTTCTATAGATACCTCTTTCACCACTTAGGAATGACTTTGAAATCACTCAGGTAACGTTCATGTCAAAATACTACCTTGATATGGACAACTGTAAACATTTGGTAAAAATCCAGGAGGATCTCACACTCATATTTCTCTGCACGTGTCTTTAAGCTCCTGCTCTGCTTAACAGAAACCAAATGAGATAATATGGGAACTCTGGTCAGCAGATTCACACTAGAGAAAAGACCCTGGCCCTATGTTAAAAAGATTGGCCAAGGAACGTGCATGTGTATGTTTCAATTGAAAACAAGGTGTATGGAGAGTGTATGTCATATACACACAATTGCTTTCATCACCTTTTTCAATTGATTGCTGGCCCCGATCGGAAAATTCTGCGGAAGTGATCACATGAAGAGAAATGGGATGGGAGGAGGGAGAGGATGCTGCTGGTGCCTGTGGCAGAGCCTGGCCTGGGGGCTGAGGGGACTCCCCAGGAAGGAGTGATGAGGATACTATGTTAGAATTAGGAGTCAGGGTTTCATGGCAGGTGGCAGGTCCCAAGGAAAGTAAGGGAACTGTTTTCAAGGACGAAATTAATCCTTTCTCAGTTGTTTATGTCTGGAATTGGTATCACCCACAAGCAACTAGGTCAGTCACTGTGAAGATTTTATTGTAGATTGCTTTCAGATGTTAATGTTGGAGAACACAGATGCAGGAGCAAACAGGTTTATGTGCTCTCTGCCACATTTTGCTAATGAGATTCTTGCATCGGGTGGCCTCACTGTGGTGTCTGATGAGGTATATTGTGCAGTCAGTAAAATGCACAGGCTTGAAGTAACCCTTTGAGGAACCGAGAGACTGCAGAGGCCACAGCTGGGGGAGACACGAAGAGACCGGCTCAGACACTGCCGCAGTGACCGCAGGCAGACACTGGTGGTGGCGTGGTTCAGGGTGCCATGCGGCAGGTATGCAGAGGTGTTGGGTCTGGAGCCAGCCAGATAGTCTCTGGGCCCGAGACAACCTGAAGGCCCCCTTCCATGGCCACCTCCCATCTTGCTGTGCCTCTGTTCATCCCTTCCCAGTGGCGTATTGCTGCCTCTCCATTCGCACCTGCCCCAGAGAAGCCCAGGCTGGGAGCTGCCCATGGGGAGCATCCAGACTGCTGTCCTGCTGGCGCAGATCTGCGTGGTTGAGCCGAGCGGGATTGAAGCCTGCCCGGGACTTGGCCTGATTGGCGGTGGGGCTGAGGGTGCGCCAGTTTGCCAAGGAATGGGGAAGGGCCAGCCCTCTGAGGGCAGGGACAGTGTCTTATTTGGACACAGCAGTTAGATGCTCTCTGGCCCAGAGGAGAAAATGCAAATAAACCAGCCAGCCAGCCTGCCGATACCTGGGGCTGCCTGGCCTGGCTTCCCTCCACCTCTTAGCAGCTGGACCAGGAAGCTAGAATCTTTTCTAGCAAAGAGATTCAGGCCCAGTTGCCTCAGGAAGTGACATTCTTGTTGCTGATGAAAACTTGCTTAAAGAAAAGTCCCATGGGGATTGGGCTGCTGCCCTGTTGGAGCAGATCCTGGACCCCGGGGCTTCTGGGGTCCCTCCAGCCCCTGGCTCTGGGACTGAGAAAGGCAGGGCCTCCCATCCCATCCCTCCCACCTTCTCTGTGTTTTCCTTCCAGGAGGGAGACCAGGGTGTGGGTGTTTGGGATGTAGGGTTGGTTGGTGCAGGGTGATAGAATCAGAACCTTATCCTCACAGCAGCTGGGAGGCCTGGGGCCTGGGTGTGGCCAGTGGGGGCTCTACCGCCAGCCAGGCTGTGCCTGAGGGCTTGAGGAACCAGTTGAACTTAGACAAGTTATCTGGTGTCGCTAAAGCTCAGTTTCCTCACCTTTGAAGTGGGGATAATGATTGCTATGATTAAATGGATTTATCTGCATCAAAAATCTTAAGACAGTGCCTGAGCATATACAGGCTATTTTTATATCATCACCATCGTCGTCATCATTATTCTGAATCCCACTCTTTGGTGGTGGTGGCGGTGGCGGTGGCGGTGGCGGTGGCGGTGGCGGCTGCGGTGTAGACGGTACAGGCAGATTCTTGAACTTCCTTTATTTCGTACGAGAGCACTTCCTCTCTGGGTCTTCCACCGAAAGCAAACCAACAAGTCCCTGGACGCCCGGAAGTGAAACCAGCCAGAGGGCTTCTCCCACTCACCTGGGGGCTGGTGGTGGCAGGGCCTGGTATCCCCTCCCTACTGCCTGTCTTCTGGGCAGATGGGGTTCTGCCCCCAGGCAGCCAGAGCATGAGCTGCCCAGGCCCAGATGACAGAGGCATGTAAAAAATAAGGACCTCTTTATGGCTCTGGGGGACCAGTGGGGAAGGAGAGGGAGGTACCCTGGGAGCCTCTGTCTCCCCTACTGTCATTCCTGGGTTTGTCATTCACAGGTTTGTAGGCTGCCTGGAAAGTTCTCTGGAAGGGAGAGCAGACTGAAGTGGGAGGCAGGGCAGTGTTGCATGTCATCAGGACTAGCCCCGAAAATGGGTCTGCATTGCTCTGGGCCAGCCCCATGTTCAGAGGAGCAAATCATATATGCAGAGTTCTTAGGATATGCCCCGCATTGTGCCAAGTGTGCGACACAGGTCATCTTAGTTTATTCTCATGAGCTTACCCAGGAGGCATTTACTAGGACTAGCCCCATTTCACAGGGGTTCGGGGAGGTCACATCACTAACCTGTATTTCCACAGCTGGCAAGTGGTGGGGGTGGGGATCTGAACCTGAACAGTCTGGCTGAAAATGGGGAAAGGTCAAAGATGTCAGGGTGCAGGTGATGAACACTACTAGGGGCCCCCCTTCTCTCCTCTTACTCCGGAAGTTTGAGAAAACCCCGTGGCCTGAGCCTGCTAGTGTGAGGTGTGCAGGCTGAAGTTCATGGCAGTGGCAACTGTTAAGTGGCGTTTCTGAGCCAGCACCTGCCTGGGGCACACACAGCCTCCATCTCTGCAGAGTGGGCGTTGGGGAGCCAGAGCCTGTCAGCAGCTAGTGCTTGACAGGAATGTCACTGCACCCTCCACTGGTTCTGCGGCATTCCCGCCTGTGTTTTCCAGCTTTCACGGACATGGGGAGAGTGCTGGTCACGCCCCTGGAATCTGGCACGTGGCCCTGCTGATGCACAGAACCCCGCCCAGTGAGTCTGGCACCACAGAAACACATAATGAAAAAGCTTTTACTGGGAAAGAAAAGGCAAATACTGGATAGAACATTGACGTGCCCCCTCTCTGGTGGGGAGCGCAGGGTCCAGTAGCTATTGCACAAAGTCCCTATGACTGGGCTGCACCTCTGGCAGGGGTCAGTGGAACCCCAAGGCCAGCTCCCCACAGGTGCTGGCTGTTATCCAGTGAGGTTTGTGGACCCCACCTCTGTGTTCTGTTAAAAAAGTGCAGGCAGGCGAAGAACCCCGGTGCTTTACTCCGTCACTGAAATGGTGGCTCCTCAGCCCCACGCTCACCGGCAGGGAGAGGTCCTGTGACCATAGCAGCCCTTGCTTCCTTGACAAGCCTCTGTGAATCAGTGTCCGGTTCCTGGGCAGGGTCAGAGCTATGAACGTGGATCTTGGTCTGATGGGTCAGGGCTGTGGGGCTAGGCTGACACCTGGGCCATGGGCCACAGTCCCCTCTCCGGCTTCTCCTTGGTCAGCTCTCCATCCCTCATGGTGGGGTCATGGGCCGCACTTGGGCCTTTCTGCCCCTCGGCTCAGGGCAACAGCAGTGAGTGCAGCAGCAGCTACAGGCCACCAGCAGCAGCACTACCACAGTAGCTGGAGAGACAGAGGCACAGAAACTCCGAGGTGGGAAGAGAAAGGCCCCACTTCCTTCCCAAGAAGCCCCTTTGGAGGCACGGAGGGTCTTTGCCCAAAGGCCTGGCTCACTGGTTAGAAATACCTGAGGATCTGACGAGAGGTGTTGACCAGCCCCGTGCCAGCCACCAGAGCCCGGACCTCCTCCCTGTGGTACCTCTTCCACCTCCCAGAACTCTGGTCCCTTCATCCCTGGGTTGGGATGCTGGGTGCCTCTGTTCCCAGCACCACCCAGCCCACCCCTCGAGCAGCATGTCCCAGGACTAGGGGAAATGCCTCATTTCCCCCAAGGGACATCTGCTTCTCCTCTGCCTGGGAGACACTGAGCTACCTCCGCCAGCCCTCTGGCCAGCATTCTGGTCACGTCTCTGGATGTCAGGAAGAGCCAATGAGAGTCTGAGAGCCCCAACTGACCTGTGAAGAGGAGTATGACTGAGAAGGCCACGATCTCCACAGGCTCGGCCTGTGGCAGCCTCTGCAGCTTGAGCAGCAACCTCTCACCCACCCAGCGCATCTCCTGCACGAAGTCAGTGGCTGCCATGCTGGGCGAGGCTCCTGCCAGGGCTCCTGCCGGGGCTCCTGCCGGGCTGTGCTGAACAGAGAGAGGACCTGAGTCCCCACGGTGCTGGCTCCAGAGAATCCACCCTCTCGTTTACCTGCACCTGCAGAACGAGTTTGTCAGGTCTCACCCATCACACCCTGGTGGCTCAGGAGGGAGGCAGGGCACCCATGGGGCCCCTCTGCTCAGTCGTGCCCCCAGCCACCCCCAGCTGGCACTGCTCAGAGTGAGGGAAGCTGGCGATCACAGGGAGCCTGAGGCTCTGCTGGGGAGCTGCTCAGGAGAGCTGGACACGGGAGGGGTCTGCCAGCCTGCCAATTGGCCAGTGTTTCTGTAAGCTGGGGTGACTTCCGTCTTACATTCCTTTGTCTCAGGCACCAATCTCAGGTTTTGCAGGGTGGCTTGGACTGGCACGACTCCCCTGGTGGCCCCTGGGTCATTCAGAACTTGGGTTCCCTCCCCGGGCTCCCCGCAGGGAGAGTGGGCTTCAGGATTTTGGCCTGGTGCTCTTGCTTTTTGCCATATGTGGGGGCAGAAGGATGCGGGTTTCCTAAGAGCAGGCTCTGGGGGTTTCTGGCCAGGCTCAGAGGTGGGTCAGAGCTGACTGGGGGAGGTAGTCTGAGCCCCCCACCTCTCCCATCTGCCCAATTTCTTTCTTTTTTAATTCTCACTGGAGGATACTTTCTCATTGCTTTTCAGGGGAGGGGGGAGAGAAGCATCGATGTGAGAGAGACACATTGATTGGTTGCCTCCCGCTCAAGTGCCAACTGGGGCCAGAGATTGAGCCTGCAACCGAGGTGCGTGCCCTTGGTCAGAATTGAACCCAGGACCCTTCAGTCTGCAGGCCGATGCTCTAACCACTGAGCAAAAAACTGGCTAGGGCCCATCTGCCCAATTTCTTTACTCATATGGCATTCTCCTGTGAGGAGGAAGAGATGACACTGTCCCAAGGGGTCCTCTTCAGAATGGGATCAGGGCCAATCTAGCCAGCCCCTCCCTCTCCTGTTGGCTAGGGCCTGCTCCTCTGCTCTCACACAGGCCTCAGGTGTGTGGCAGCTCCGCTCTCCCGGCCCCATGACTGAGAGCCTTTTCCGGCCTGGGAGGCCCTGGGCCAGACCAGGTCTGAGTCGGGCGTGCTGTGTCGCAGATCTTCCTTCCCTCCGCCTCACCTGCAGCCACAGGGAGCCAGGGCCTCTTTAGACAGGGACCAGGACAGCCTTGTGCCAACCCAGCCTGAACCTGTTCTCCAGGGCAGCTCTCATCCAAGGGAGGCTAACAGGTGGCCAGGGGCTTGTGCCAGACCTTAGGCTCTAGTTACTGCCGCCTCGCGCTGGTGTCAGCCAGGTGGTTCTCCCGAGGTGGCTGTGGTCTGTGAAGCCGGCCACTCCTGGGGGTGCCCCAGCACAGCTGCCCTCAACCCTGTGGCTGCTCCCACCTCCCTGTGCTGTGCAGCCTTCCTCGAGTCCCTCTGGGGGAAGCGGGAGCCCCACCCACTACCACAGTTCCTTCTTGGGGCTGCTTGGACCTGTAGAAGGTGGGGTCTCATACTGTGGTCACTTAGGACACCTCTGCCCCTTGCTGCCTCATTTCTTCAGACCTTCAGGGCAGCTGGCCTGTGCCTCCTGCATCTGCTCCTCCGCGAGGTCACTTCTCTAGCGGTTTTGCCAGCTGCCCGCAGTGGAGCATTGTGTATACCGTCCAGCAGGTTGGATTTGGAGCTGCTCCCCTTCCTGCGTCGGGCACTGGATGAGTCTCCTGATCTCTGAGTCTCTCTCATGTTAGGTGAAGATGAGAGGCCTGTGTTTCGAGGCTGTGAGGTGGACTGGCCCCCTGGCAGCACAGAGCCTGGCACGGGGTGGTGCCCAGCACATGGCATTCCCCCTTTGTGGGGTCTGGCCAGTACAAGAGAGTTGAGGTAGCCTCTGCGGGTAGTCACACCTCCCTGTGCACTGTCGACCCCCTCAAACACCTCAGGGGAGTTTCATCTGCATCCTTCACCCCACAATGTTTGCGGCGTGTAAGGTGAAGGAAGGGGCATGCTGGAGATGGGAGCTGTTTTTAAGTGATGCTGGGGGTAGCAGGCAGTGATGACTCCATGAAAAATTACCTGGTTTCCTGTCAAAAGTGGGAGATCCTCCTTCCTTCTCGCATACCCCGCTCCAGGGTCAGCATGTTTCCGCAAATAGAGATCGGGATCCAATTTTCAAATGTGCTAAGGCTTAGACTCCTAGAATGCCACAGGTCACTCCTGCTTCCTTTTTTTTACAAATGGGGAAACTGAGGCTTGAGAGAGGAAGCGACTTCTCCGAGATCACACAGCAGGACAGGTCTAGCCAGTCCTCCCTGCTGCCCCACGCTGCCTCTCAGTGGAGGCCTGTCCTGGGCAGCCTACTCTGACCAGCAAGATAAGTCTGCCCGGGAGCAGCTCACCGAGGGCACTGCCCATGCAGCGGGCTCAGCTTAGTGACCCGGGTCCCCGGAGCCCATTAGAAGCCTTTGGAAGCCAGTAGGCTCTACAAGAGCAGCCCTAGCCCACCCCTGGGAGCCCGGGACACTGCTTTTATTAGGCATGGCACTCACCAGGGCAAGGCCTCACCTGTTCTGTGAGAACCACCGAAGGGACAGATCTTGTGTGTCTTTCTGTCTCACCACATTCCGTCTAGAGCATAGGGCCTCTCTCCTGTGGTCACACTAAACAGACTTCCACTGACCAGTGGAGCAGCACCCTCCCTTGTCCTGAGGCCTGTGGGCACCGCTGCTCTGCTCCTGGGGGAGTGCACAGGGTTGAGGCGCAGGGCTGCTTCTCTCCCTCTCTCTTCATCTACACTTCGTTTGACTCTTTCAGCCAGATTGGCCCAGTGCCTGCATTGCCTAATGTATCCATCAGAGAGGAGACGGTCATTAGAAGAGGCGGACAGAGGGCAAGGGGAGCTTTTCACTTGCGCTCCCAGCCCAAAGACCCAGGAGGGCAGCAGAGGGGCGTGGCCGCTGAAGCAGGAGGAGGAGGGCTGCCCGTGTGGGGCAGAGGCAGAAGCCCTGTGCTGTGCAGGAGAGGCGGGGCTTGTTCATCAGGAGCTTCAGCTCTAAAGCCAGCCATCCTCCAGGGATTTATGATATCCGAACGCTGCAGACTGGCCCAGGGGACCCGTGCCCCACTCTGGGAAGGCTGTTGGTCCACACCAGCAGCAGGCCTTGGACGTGGATGACGTCAGGCCTTTGCACCCAGGGCCCCTGGAGACCCGAGTTAGCCAGCCTCGCCCAGTCCAGGGCTGCTGCTCCCTGGATCCCATCTGCGCCGGGAGCAGGAGTGGGGCTGTGGGATGCTGCCCTTCTGCCCCAAAGATTGGAGAGGAGTCCTCGAGGCTTTCCAGTTGAGGCTTTGTCATTTCCAGCATGGCCTTGAGCAGGACCCTAAGTGGGGACCAGAGGGGAGTTGGAGGGACCTCTTTTTTCCTAAGAGGGAGGAGGCACATTCTAGCAGGTCTCAGGCAGGCTTCCCAGTGGGCTATTTAAAGCCAAGCCAAGAGGGTGCCTGACGCCTGGTGCCCAATATAGCCAGCAGCCATCAGGTGACCATGTGCTTGTGCCGGCTGTTGCTCTGCAGGGTCCCCTGAGTTTTTCCAGCTGTGGCCTAGGGAAATGGGTGCTCAGGGGCTGGCTGCCTCTCTTCCCTGGTAACTTCCCAGGTTGGCAGGAGGGGGGGCAGAGAAGTCTAGTTGGGGCTACTGAGAATTCTCTATTTTTCTGGACTTTCAGCCTCAGGTCCACCAAACTCCTTCCAAAACTACCTCCTGCCTATGAACCAGGGAAACCAGAGTTCCTCCCAGCCCCATGCATGGTAGTGTCAATTGGAAGCAGCCAGAGCCTTGTGGTGGCTTTTCCCGGCTGGCCACAGGAAGGGAGAGCAGCCCCGGCTGCCTGCCGGGCCCTTCTTGGAGCCTTCCCAGGGTGCTCCCCACTGGAGGGGCAGCCAGTGGACGGGGGAGGTCAGCAGGGCAGAGAGGAAGGCTGGTCAAGCTGGCCGGACTAGGAAGCATTCCTCTGTGTGTCATCTAAACAGAGAGCCTTGCAACAGAGCGTTCAGGCATCCTGCAAGCCAGACACCTGCCACTCAGGACTGGAGCTTCCCTGTTTCCTCCTTGCAAAATTGATACTCCCAACTCCCCAGGGGAAGCAGGCGGGCGTGTTTGTGACTGATAAGTACA